CCAGCTGCAATCCCAATCTCTAGTCGGTGCCATTCCGTTGTGAAATTTGCGGTTGAGAATCGCATCTGGAAGTTACTATAGTATTCTCTCATAATGTTTTGCACCTCTTGTGGGACGTAGAAAAAATCCATTGCCTTCATCAGCAATTTATGGGGAACAGACCCGTAGGCATTCGCCAGATCCAACCACACTACGTTTAAACTTTCCTTGTTTTTCCTGGCCTCTTGGATTGTGTCCCAAATGGTGAAAGCATGCTCGATGCAGCCTGGGATCCCTGGTACCCCGGCTTTCTGTACCGTTTCATCCACATAGCCGTTACTTTGCAAATATGCTACAGTCCTCTTTGCAAGTATTCCCATAAAGATCTTGCACGTCACGTTGATGATTGAAATAGGTCTGAACTGTCCTATCTCCTTTGCATTCTGTTCTTTGGGTAGATACACGCCCTCCGCTCTGCACCAATCTTTGACGATTTCTTTGTCTTTCCAAAGGCCTCTTAGCATCTCAAAGAGGGTGTGTCTCAGCGTGTCGCAATACTTGAACTCCTTATAAGACACGCCATCTCCTCCAGGAGCACTTTTTGCTCTTGCTTTTTTTACGAACTCATCTACTTCTTTCTCTCTAATTGGTCCCAGGTAATATTTGACGACGGGGGCAGCTGGACGCTTCAGGCCTCTCATATAAGGAAGCGGTTCTTCTCTTCTTGAATCGCTGTACGTCTGCTTAACATAAGCATCGAGTTCCTCTTTCGTACATTCCAATTTACCACTCCGTGCCTCTGTGAACAGTTTTTTGGCTGCTTCATAAGGATTCTTCAGAAATTGTTCACGTTCCCTTTTTCTCTCTTTTCTCCTGGTACACCTTCTTTCGTGCCTCTGTAGGTCTCTGCTCTTTTTCTTAAGATCTTCAAACAAGATTCTTAGGCCTTCTATCTCTTCTGGTGGTGCGTACTTTTTCTGCTTTTGCAAGTCTCGTTTCTGTTTTCTTAGCTGTGCAAGTACTCTCTGCCTTCTACTCAATCCACTTTTCTTCTCCGTCTTTTTCTTTCCTTCACAAATACCAAACTCTTTTATTGCCGAGTCATAGATAATGGTCGCAAACGCACTCAATATTTCTTTAGCATCCCCTCTGTTAGAACTCTTTTTGACTTCTTTCAATTTCTTCTGGACTTCTTCTTCTAACGTCTTGTATTTTGCCTTCTCGTTAGCAGCAGGCCACAGTATTCTGGGTTTCCGTAACCCTGGTTCCGTTTGCTGTTCCATCTCTTGCTGAGACAGGGTGAAAGGAGAGTCGACTGAAGCACTAATCGCTCCGCTGTGGTTTTCATCCTGGGATGATTTGCTTCGCGTCTTACAATCTGACGATCTGCACTGTCTTCTCTTCTTTAAACAGACTTTTCCCTGGTGCACTCTCAGCCCTCGCCAGGTATCGAAGAAAACTTTTCTCAGGGTCAGCGGGTGCTATCACAGACACTTAAAGTCCTCCTTAAAAGATCCTCAAAGATTCTGCTGAGCTGGAACATAGCAGACTGGTTATAGCATTGGGTTTCCGTTTTTTAATGTTTAAAAAAAATGTACTTCAGTTAGTCTGCAAGATAGCGGTCACAGTTTACCAGACGAAGACTTTGACAACATAAAAAGAGAGAACCACACTGCAAAGCCGCCCCCCCCCCCCCCCCCTGCAAATAATTTTATAAATGAAATAAGAAAGTAAAAAAACAACAACAACCAGTAAATAAATAAATAAATAAATAACCCCCCACCACTGTCAAAGAACGGATTTCCAAATCAGAGGAGTTCACATAAAAATACATCACGGTATCACGATACTCTATCAGTCTACACACCAAAACGAATTTATTTTGCCTACGAGGTTCTGCTTACTTTTAACGCAACTTCCCCTTCCCGTCCCTATTTCAGACTATTGCAACCCCCCTATTTAAAAAATGCAGCCCCGGCGTCATCACAGTATACCAGAAGTAATAAATAATTCTTAATGGTACATACACGCGTATGCAATGATCGTAACACAACACTACAAAGAATTGTCCTACCAGGCTGGGTATTGTGCCAATGAAACAAATCTTACCTGGCCCCGTGGTTTTATGCACCCGGCCAAATTTAGCAAAATTAGATCATTTTTTGCATAATTTCTTATTAATTTCCTTTATAATCATTCTTTGTTGAAATTAATTAACAGAATCGCATAGTTTCACATTTTTTGGCTCAGTTTGCATAATTTCTTTTTTTGTGTGTGTGCATGAAACCGCAGGGACAGTCTTACCTTCGAAATCGGAATGTGGCCCTACTAATTGGGAAAACGATCATGTCATAGGTAAAATCAGTTGCACTGTAGGTTGAAGAACCAACAGTCGACTAACCCTGAGATCTAGCGCGAGCGGGGAAAGGCAAAGAAGAAGACTTGTTGTTGGTTTTTTTTAAGTAGAGGTTTTACGGCGCTCGCAACTGCATAAGGTCATATGAGTGTCAGAAGATCAGAGGTGTTACAAGAGAGTAACATTCATTAAAAAAAGAAGAAGGGGAGATAAGGACGATAGATGTTTGATAGGAAAGAAAAGGCAAGAAGCAAACCACACCGGAACACCCGCCAACCACCCACAAAGAATACTTTAATGAATCAATTGAATCCTATCTGAAGGTCAATTTAGGACAATGTCTTCACAGCCACATTATAGCAATTGTTTTCGTATTTAAAAAAACACACAAAAACAGGCTACTTCGACTCTATCTGATTGGGTAAACTTCCCTGGCTAAATGTGAGACAACAATCCAAACAAACTGACACGGATGAGCGTACAACGATTCCCTACTCTAGAATGGAACTCACACTGTCAACAAACAACGTATAAGAGCCTAATAACGAACCAGAGACCCGGGTAATATTTTACTCACGACCCCAGCAACGTCCGCTAAAATGTTTCAGTATATAATTTGGTTTAAACTAAATTAACGTTTGGCCAAATAGCCTAATTGTTGGTAAGGTGTAGGCCCGACTCTATTTTCCGTGTGTGTGTGTGTGTGTGTGTGTGTGTGTGTGTGTGTGTGTGTGTGTGTGTGTGTGTGTGTGTGTGTGTTTTCAAGTATGCGAGTGTGTGTGTGTGTGAGTGTGTGTGTGTGTGAGTGTGTGTGTGTGAGTGTTTGTGTGTGTATGTGTGTGTGAGTGTGTGTGTGTGCGTGTGCGTGTGTGAGCCTCTGTGAGTGTGCTTGTGTGTCTGTGTTAATTATTATTATTATTATTATTATTTATTACCAAAATCAAAACAAATGTGTGATGTAACCTTGCTTTCAGCTCAATCAGGAAAGCCAATAAGGTCATAAGAAAACAATTAGTGCGTCCTGTTCTACTACAACCATGTCAATGTGATAGCAATCCCTGATAAGGCATACAACGACCCCACAATGCTTTCATCCTTGATATACACATGTTACTCATGTATTAAAATCAAGAGTGTTTCAATCTCTTTTTCAATCACTGAATAAATTATCTGCCGACTGACACATTATTATTCATGAAGCATAAATAGCTGTATGGTCACATTTGTGACAGGCCAGGTGTTTCCTCGTGATCAAACATGATATGAATACAATAAAGTTCAATATACTAGAACTAAAATGGAAGAGCTGATGAGAGGTGACATGGCTAATTGTAAACGATTTTACACCCCTATCAACACAATTTTATGATTTAGGAGGTGGGTTGCTTCAATCCTGCAATCCAGTTTCAATATGAGACAGAGTATCCCATCAGACAGACAGTGACATTCAAGTTCTTGAAAGTAGAACTCTAGGGTATAGGACGACAGAAAATAGCACGTGCAACGCAATTAGGTCATAATAATATAAGCGACAAAGTTTAAAGATGTCACAAGAGAGTAACAGACAAAAAAGGAGGAGAGATAAGGATGATAGATATTTTATAGGAAAGAAGGCACAAACAACACCAAATCACCCGTAAAATGTACATACAAAATTAACCCCCTCGGCATTGATGGCAGAGCACATTATTGTGGTAGTGATAGACCGTCAAGTGTACCAGCACCTGAAAAGCATATCATCACCAAAACCATTTTCGAACAGAGACTGCAAAGAATAAGCCAGAGTAAGAAAAAGCTTTTCCACTTTTAACATTTCCCCACAGTTTCAACAATGTAAAGAAGAAATACAGAAAATGCTGTAAAGCCAAACACATTGTAACAGACAGCATTCTATGCCGCTTTGCCTGGACCAGACAAAATCAATATGAAGATCATAAAGTTAAGGGGGTGGGGAAAGGAGGGTGGGATAGAGATACATTGTATGACAATGACATCTCTACTAGATTACAAAGAAAGTTTGATGAAACTGAAACAAGAATTGAGCCTGAGGAGAGAACAGTTCACATCTCTTTTATGATATACACATGACATCTATTTCTATGCTCATTTTCCTTCCCAGATTTGAAGGCTAAAAGCAGTGCTATCCTTTGGGAAGAAGAAAAACAGTTACAGCATGTAAACATCAGTATAACATTGTCAAAAACACAACTTCATTTCATTCAATTGTTTAAAAGCATACATATATATGGGGCATTTCAAGTCACAGGTGCAGATCAATGTAAAATCAAATAATAATTACATGACTTCCATAAAACAAGCCAATAGAAAATACTCAAATGGTTCAGAAAAACGTTAAATATTTCCCTAAAGTTCAGTAAAGGTATTCAGGCAGGGATAAAAAGCAAAAAAAGACATTTCTAACAAAACAAAATTTCATGTCATTTTCATGGTTAGACAATTTAACGGCAACAAAAATCAAAAGCATGCAAGAATTTTTTTAAAGCTTACGTGAAGCACAATAACAGAGAAAAAGTCACTGAGTGATCATTAAATGACAGGCCGAGATGACACACAGACAACACTAAAGTAGGACCATAACAGCATCTTTTTAGCAAGCATTGGTTCAAAATATGAAAAACTAATTACAACAAAAAGTCATACTTACTCTCTGAAATAGAAGAGGTCTGCCTGATCGCTGAGTCCCAGCTCGGCGACCCGTTTGAAAGCATAGGTACTCTTCCGCAGAGCTTCCTCATATTGCTCTTCCCGCGTCAAGTGGGCAGTACGACGGAACTTCTGCTGCTCACATTCACTGATCGCCATATTTTCTGGAAATGAAAACAATGGTTTCATCTTAATGACATAATAATGAAGAAAAAAAAAAACAAAGATTAAAAATCCTTCCCTGTAAACAGGATCATGTTAAATGGCATCATGTTAAAACAAAATCTACAGTATAATCAATTTTGAAACCAATTGCACTAGAGAGTATTAAAATCAACATTTTATTTTATCTTCACAACACAGTAAAAAATAATCTATTCCTTTAAACCAAAAAGAAATAAAAGCCTTTTAAAAAAAATTAACTGTAATGACGACTAAGTCACTATGATTTTTTATTAATTCTCTTCTAACGTTACAGCCTCAAAGCTATAGTTTGCTGAATCAAAGAAATCAGTTTTAATCAAAGAGAAGACTAGATCTTGAGAGAAATATCTATGTGGACAAAGGCAGACACCAATGAAACCCCTCAAATTCAAAATGGTAATCATTTTGTACGAGTTTTGAATTTTAAGAGTAAAGTAAACTTTATCGTCCCAAGCCACAAAATAATAGATATGATAAAAGGATTGCATTACATAACTGATTCAGCCCGCAGATAGTTTTGACTCTGAACGCAAATAATTTTTGTGACCTCTTCATGACATCACGAGTGGTCTCACAAAAAGTTAACAAATTTAAATCATTTCTAAATTTGACAAAAACCCAATGTGTGGCATTATTGCTGTGGATTCCTGTGAGGAATGGAGGCAGATACATTCAATGGTGGAAGGTAAGGACCCGGGAAAACTAAATTATATGACAAATTTCTATGTCAAACAGTACAAAGACCATAATGACAAGTGCTGACTTGAATCAACTGCTAAATTGGCTGCCACCTTTCGTCCTATGGATCCAAAATTATGCAAAGAGGAGAAATGAAATTCCAAAGGAATCAGTTGTTTTTTTTCTTTGAAGTCATATTTGTCTATTAACAACTGAAGATCTTCAACTCTGTACAAAAAAATATAGATGAAAAGTTCCTGTAGTGTGGCTCTGGAAAATAGGCCTATATTATTAAGTTCCATACTGAATGTCCTACTGCTGCGAAAAAGGGGAAAAAAGCAGCTTAGGGTAGGTTGGGGCAAATGGCAACTTCGACAGTCTCAACCTAGCCTAGCCTTGCGAATCATCAGACTCTGTGTCATGGAATTATTAAAGCCCACTTTTATTCTTTGCACATTTGATTCTATCTAAATAAAATAAAATTTGAGCTTCCTAGGCTTCCACTATTTGAATACTTTACCTCGGAGGGGGTTAAGCCCACTAGACTCTATGCCGGGGCCCTATTTTGGTTGAATCTACATCACTCATTTGGTCATTAACTCAAAACAAGTGAACCTATTTCAATAGCCTAGTTATTCTTTAACTACTGGAATGAAATTCCGGTGAAAGAGACTTGCCGAAAACTAGGCTATTAATGATGTTGAAGTTGTCGAAAAGAAAAGTGCTCGAGTCGCTGGTCAGCGGCTCAAGTGCCGGCACAGGAGTTCCGAATGCGAGCTGCTGGTAGTGGCTTGCCGGATAAGGAGTTATGGAAAAAAGCTCCAGAAAACACCCTTCCCAAGTTTTGTGCTCCCTCGCCTCGTACTTTACACTCTTGAAGAAAACAAAAAATGGTACTTCACCCATCATTTACTTTTCCTCTTTTTTTGCTTGAAAATATTCCCCAGATATGTATACAAAACTTTGGTATCCTTCGGGTCATTTCAATCCATCTAGAATTAGAAATATTTATTATAATTATTAAATTTATGTGATTTATTCAAATTGAAGGGGTTAAATGTAGGCAGGTGCAAATTCGACAAGAGTGAAACTTCAACAGGGGGTGGGCCAATTTCGACCTGACTCAGATTCGTTCCAAGCCTAGCCTATTGAAAATACCAGCTGATAAGCAGAAACACCTTTAACAAACTATCCCTTTTCAGTTTAATCCAGTTTTGTATTATTGTTTTTACCATGGGTTGAAATCCTTGACCTGTCAGAGATACAAACTAGCAGAAATTTAGACTCACACTAGACTTCTCAACTTACGCCATGTTAGCTAAGCTAAGTGTGTGCACGTGTGTGTGTGTGTGAGGGTGTGTGAGTGAGTGTGAGTGTGTGTGTGTTTGTGTGTGTGTGTGTGTGCATGTATGTAGATCTTGTGTTCGTGTCTTAGCATGTGTGTGTGCGCCCTTGGAGAGAGAGAAGCGGGGAAAGAGAAGGACAGGGGCAGAAATAGACAGAGAATTCAGCAGAGAAAAGTTGAGAGAGAGATAGAGAGAAAAAGAGAATGAGAGAAAAAGAGAGTGAGAGACTGAGAGAAAAAGAGAGAGAGAGAGAGGGGGGGGGAGGGCACACTAAGTTGAGTAAGAACCCTCTTCAAGACTTCCAGATTTTTTGTCTGGGTGTAAACAAATGGATCGTGGACTTAAGCGAACGGAACTACAAGATCACCAAAATATGATCTTTTCTTTTGTGTATTGTTGGTCGGCCGGCCCTCTGCGGAACTCATTCCCTCGACTCAGTCGGATTCTGCCTTGTTGTTAGCCTTGTAGTATCCCTCTTACTAAGACTTAAAACTACTAGCCCGCTACCACTTGGCCTATAGTCCCGGCGCTTTTTCGGTAGTTCCCACCCCGCAATTTTATTCACGGGTTTGGGCCACAAGAGTAGGGGGGTTTCAGGGGGGCTTGCCCCGCTGACCTAATAAAAACAGGAAGGGGGGTTTCAGGGGGGCCATGCCCCCCTGAATTTTACCATAATTTAATGTTTTGTAGTTGTTAGGTTTGATATCTTAGCTCACCGCGAATCAAACGTATAAATCTAGATCTAGATGTAGGTCAGGCTCAAATAAGGGGGGTGGGAACTACCGAAAAAGCACCATAGTCCCACTATATTAACTCGTGTATTGATAGGAAACATTTACAACCATAATTAATCATACGGAAAAGGGTAGAATGTAGATCTAGATTTTCTAGTGAGGAAATTAATGTTTTCAGCAGGTCTCAGAATTAGACAGCCAGCCAACCAACAAACACACCTCCCTAGTTTGCTCAGACTCAGTGGACCTTGTCACGGTAAGTGCCGGCCCTCTGCAGAATTCCTCTCAAATTAAGACTATAATAAGAGTAGATTTAGAATCTAGATTCTAGTAGTGTTTTTTTTAATCTCTGTAGAAATTCTCGAGCACTTGCTCCATCGACAGAGTGTTGACTGAGAAGTCTGAGAAGTTGGCATCACTGTTGCTGTAGTGTTAGTCACTACAGTATTGTCTGGCCATCTCGGCCGTCTGGACAAGTCGGCCGCCCGCCTAGGGGAGTGTTGTTCCAACTCGTTTTAAAGCCAATCTTATTCGGATATTTTGTTAATTTATAAACCAATGTAATCTTTGTTAAGTAATGCTAACAATCTCGCACGTTTTGTTTCCCTTTCACCCGTTTTCACTGAATGTTTGTTCCTTTTTGCGACAGAGCCAGGTAAATCGAAAGTAGGTCCACCATTTTTTCATCGTCTCCATAACTTGAACTATGCATACTCATAAGGTCATAGACATGCGCAGATGCTATATTACGTACGTCATATGACCTGGGACGGAAGGCAAAGACGTTTTTTGTCTATTCCGGGAACGAGAGGAAGCCCTTCTTGCATAGGAGGGATGTGGTGGGGTGGTCAAGTTAACCGGACTAAAAATGTTAAGTGTCCGGGTTGTTCGGCCGGGGCTGGCCGAGCTTTATAGACTCAGTTCGCGCATATCGGCCTAGTGCACAATATGTTTTAAAAATATATTTTCAAGCTTAGCCTACCCATTTTTTATTGTTTAGGCCTATTGTTTATTTTTATTATTTCATTTGTTGCGTACATTAATTATTTCTGTGGCCAGTGAATTCGATTAAATGGATTATTATACCAAATGTGGTGATATTCATGGATTGTGTTGCTTGCACCAAGGTAAGGTTACAATTTTATTAAGGCGCTGGTTCTATTTTTCCCAACGTTCGGGAAAATAAACTTGAACTCTGTTTATCCGAACGGTTTCCGTTCTCGAGATTAATAAACTGTTGATAATTTACGAATGGAGTGACCCGTGCCCGCGCGCGCGCGTGTGTCTGTGTGTGTTGTGTGTGTGTGTGTGTTAGTAAGTGAAAGTGCATTGCGTGCGTGCATGCGTGTGTATGTGTGTGTGTGTGTGTGTGAGTGTGTGTGTGTGTGTGTGTGTTTGCGTGCGTGCGTGAATAAGGTGTGAACGAGGCGTGTGGGGGCGGGGCGTGGACGGATTTTGTTTTGTTTAGGCTACATACATGAAGGATTTTACCTTTTGCTTTAGGGTTGACTAAATGCAAAATAGGTTACTGCCAAGGTCGAGCTGTCCTGTTTTCTTGCAGTACCTTTTGAAGGCATTTTTCAAATGAAGTATAGTCCAGGAACGTTGCCCCGACCACAACTGAGGTATCTGAATATTATAGTCAGACATTCACAAATCTCTAGATTCTAGCTCTAGAAATTGAATTCGATGCAAAAACGGCTACTTCCCAGTCCTTGCTGAATGGCAGAATGAAAGATGATGCATAAATCCCGCAAATCTGTTTCCTTTTATTTGACAGAAGGGTGTAAAATGGATTTCATAATTTGAATGAGTGGTTTTGAGGGTGATTGGGGTGAGACTGAGATTAATGAATCATCATCAATGCCTTTCACCCCTGGCAGGGTACCCATAGGCCACACAAGCTCCTTCCATTCATCTCTGTCCTGGGCCATCCTTCCAAGCTCGTTCCAAGTGAGCTTCATCTCTTGTCCCTTTCTACACGCATCTCCTCCTCGTTCACGTGGCCTACCCCTGCCTCGTGCTCCCTGTGGGTTCCACTGCAGTGACTGTCTTGTGATGTTTCCGTTGGGCTTTCTTAATAGGTGTGTCCCATCCATCGCCACTTTCTTAGTCCTATTTCTACTATATGCCTCTGTAGTTGTTACAGTTGCTGAGGTCTCCTTTCATTTACAGCTTGATTAGGTGACCTTCCTTCCAGTCTGATGGTATTTCCTCCTTTTGGTCTCCTTGACAGTGCGCCACGGGGGTGCACGGCCAGTTTGCGGTACCTACAAGCAGTTTTGAAATCAGTTTTGCAGCCTTCCCCTTTCCTTTACCCCTCTTTTTCCTCCTTTTGCCAAACCTTTTCAAATAGAGCACAGAGAATTTCCCTTATAATGTATCTTTAGCTGCCTTAAGGGCCTCCGGTGGTGTATGGCCGGGACCATCTGCCTTGATGTTATAGCTGCCGCATTTTCCTCTCTCGAAGGTGATTCCATAACTATTGTGGGGTCTTTTCTGGCTGGAAGAATTTCTGGTTGGTTTTCTGGAGGTGGTCTGTTCAAGAGTTGATCACAGTGTTCTCTCCCTCGGTTAAGTTGCCGCTTTGGGTAAAAGATAGTCCTTCTCTCCTTGTCTTTCACTGGTTGAGTAGGCTTGCTGAACCTTCCTGACAGAGTTTCTGTTGTCTGGTGTACAATCTGCAAGTGTCCGTCTGTTGCTGCTTTCTCTACCTTTTCGGCCAGGTCTAGACTAGATTGTAGAGATCTGATCTGTAGTTTGGGTTCAAGGATCAAAGACTGCCTCAACCTCTGGCCTTATTATTATTACACATTTGAGGGAAATGTACATGCTTCTAATACTTACGCAAGAAACGTTTCCTCTTCGTCTTTTCAGGGCCATCGTATAAGAAATAAGTTAATTGTAAAGGATCAAAAGTCGCTTGAGCTCGAGCTCTGGCCAAATCTGCGTTTACTGTGGTCGACATGACGGTTCAAAGGGCGAATGAATGTTCCTGGTTTTTTCACAGTGAAGAATTCCACTGGATCGTCGAACTGTGTCATGTTACACTTTTTCACCCAGAGCTCCATGAGCAGGCTGAATTTCCCACCACGAAAAGCTGCATTCGAGAATTCTGCCATTTTAACAGTGAAAATGGATCGATAACAACAACAACAGTGAAAATTGCAACAACAACAACAACAAAAAAAGGTCTTAACATAAAAAACATCTTCTGAACGTTCAGGCAGAAACCTTATTCAACATTCACACAGGGCGACTGACTATAACATTTTTGGAAATCACAAAAGGCCGGCACTATTTCTCCGAACGTTCGGGAAAATAAAGCTGGGCACTATTTCTCCGAACACTCTGAAATCACACCCTTTCCCGCATATTTCGGATAATAAAAATAAAATATAGATCTATAATTATATTATAGGCCTACCAAAGATTGTTCGTATACAATATGGTTCAATCGGTCCAAAAAATGTCCGTATTTATATAAAGAAATGCTACAGTTCCAAACAGTTTTTCGCTACAGATATGACGTGTGGCCTATGAAGGGTGCTGCTCTTAAACTTAATGTGTTGCGTTCACTCGTGAGCTGTCTAGATCTAGATCTATGGAGGGTTATTGATAACGACACATAGAGCTAGCATCTGCGTTTGTCGAGGCCGCGACCAATCAATCGTGGCTCGATTTTTTGGTCCCCGAAAAAGTCAAAAAAAAAAGAAAAGAAAATGAAACTCTTTACTTTTGAAAGAAAGTTCACTTAGCTTCACTTCGTCTCTTTCTCACTTGTTGTCACCACGTTGATTTGTTGAATACGTTACAGTTACATACGATTTGTATTGCTGTTCCTCTTTTATTTTTCGTTCATTTTTCCCTCTTTGTGGTGTTATATTTTGTTGGTGTGTATTTTTTTTTCTTGTTATTGTTCTGATGTGTTGTTTTTCTATTAATTTTTTTTTTGTTGGAGAAAAGGGGGGGGGGGGGGGTTGTATAGTGTAACGTCATTTAATTTGATGTTCATATAAAAGGTATTGTGTAACGTCATTTAATTTGATGTTCCTACCTTCATTAGATTCTAAATATATATACCTGTATAGATTTAAATGTGCTATGTTAGAGCGTTCCACCAAAACCAAGTACATGTACTGACACTGGCAGGCCCCCTGTGTGTGGTTCCATAATTTCCATGCAATATCCTGTACTTTTTAAAACAAATTACGCACATTTAGGGTTAAAACGGTCAATCTTCTTCGGACAGGTGGACACACGCCCTTATTTGTTAATTGTTGTGGTTGTTTCTGGGCTGTTCTAGTTTTGATTTCATTCTGTTGTGAAACCTTTCTTTTTCACGTTTTTACACTCATCTAAAAATCTCTAGACTAGATCTAGCTCTTGAAAATTGAAATAGATCTAAACCCAAAAATTTGCTCCGTTTTTTTTTTTAATGGACGATAACCGTCCACTCAATAGAAAAGAGGGTCAGATTTCTCCGTCTCTCGGGTGCCTCAGGCAGTACCCGCCTCGCTAAACCAGTGGGCACACGGCCGGAGGAGAAGCTGAGAACAGATACCACCTTTGATTTGCTCCTTCCCAGACCTCGCAGAATGACGGAATGAAAGTTGGCGCCGAACTCTCGCAAATAGGCAAACAATCACGACCAGAGCGGAAGCCGGAAACCGTTCGGAGAAATAAAGATCGGCACTATTTCTCCGAACGTTCGGAGAAATAGTCACTTCGATCACAAAAAGTAGTTAGCTAGACCCCCAAATGATGTTTTGCTGAAAACTTGGGAGAAAAGTTATTTTTGTTTTTGTAAAGTGATTTACGGCGCTCGCAACTGCATAAGGTCATATGAGCGCGCGGGACACACGTAATGTTTTCAGTTGGAAGGAAATTTTGAATTTTGCCCAGGTGGCGGCCGAAGCATACTCTTATCGATTTTAGACCACCAAGGGATCTTTAACGTGCGCAACTTGCACACGGGCCCTCCGAGATTTTTCACCCTTGTCCGAAAAGGCTAGGTATAAATCTTTCCTACCCGAAGATCAGGGGTGTGGCTGAAAGACAGCAGTAAGAAGAAGCGAAGGAGAAGCAGTAGAAAGGCTGCAGAAAGAATCACAAGCCCAGATAGGAAGGGGCAAAGGAGGTGAGGGGGTGGGGGCAGAAAGAGGAGACGAAAGCAGACAACAGAACATTGCTAGAGAGCAGGAAATGAGGTGAAAGGAGAAAAATTTAGATAACAAAATTTTTCGGTCGCAACCCGGATTTGAACCCGGGACTTTTTGAATGAGAGGCCAACACCTTAACATCTAGGCCACGAAAGCCCCCAGAAAAGTTACATACACCAAAGTCCTAGAGGCAAAAGAGGGTCAAAGTTGCCCTATTTTTGTATCTGTCTATTTTACCCTTTTTCAGTTCAGAGGACCGGCAAAGTAAGCCGCACAGAAATACAGGGGGAAACTGGGGAGCACATAATCATGATTATGGCCGCAGATGAGCCGTTTTGTCATTGGTTGTTTGTTTATTTTAACTTTTTCTAAAGACCTGAGCCAATTGTTTGTAACTGAGACAACGTGAACACACGTTATCTCTTCAAGTGGGTCCCATCTCATTGGTCCCATCTCTTCTCTCAGTTCGGATTTTAAAAAAAAGATTAAACTGTTATGTGCACAATTTGTTTCAATATTATCTTCTTTTTTCCTTTTTTCTGTTTTCTTTTTTTCTTTTTTATTCATGGTGCTTTTTGCGATATAGGATTCTATGCCAAGGTCGACTGATAGGATGATGATAGGGAAGTTACACATAATATCTTATTGCTGGTGGGGACAAAGTTGATGATCCATTTAGAGGCATGTGCCTTATAGTAAATCTAATAGTAATTTCTTGGCCTTGTAAAATTCGAGATCAATACATATTCTTTTTTAAATAACTTAAGTTTATTTTGGTTGTTCTAGCTCAATAAATCAAGATCTAGCACGTACATGACTTTACCTTGCTCAGTATATTGGGAGCGCCGTTTATAAACTCTTACAAAAATGAAACGAACCACTTTGGAGAGAGGTATATAATTAGGACAGGCGGCATAATGTAATAAAGGTCTATTATTATTATTATTATTATAGTATCAACAAGGCTCTGCTGCTGTGGTATCTGGTTAATGGTGTTGTTGTTTTGTTGATGCTGCTGCTTTTGCTGCTGCTTTTGCTGCTGCTGCT